TTTAGATCACTCCATGGAAGTCCTGGTCTAACATAACTCTTTCACTAGACCTCCTCCAATGAGTCAAAACAGCAATGCTTCAAGTACAAGTTCACTTTGGTGAAGCAGGGATGCAAATGTGGCAAGTACTGCAGGTAGTGAAGAACAATATTGCCCTAAGCAGCATGATGGCACAACAAGTGCCAAAGTGCCACAGATCAGGATATTTATTGAAGGATTTCTCCATGCAGCACCACAGAAACGAGCATGCTCCTGCTTGCACTCAGGCTTTGACATGGAAGACATCTTCCAATGTTTGAAAGTGTCTTCTGAGTTGCAGACAGTCTCTAATGACTGGTGAACGTCTGATCAGTCTGACACAGATATGACTGTTTGCTCTATGCCACAGGTTTGAAGTAGATGGATAATTTGCAGATGGAGGGTGCAAGCGTGCAAAACAAGACACCTAGGGTGTGATCTAAGAATAGTAGCAGCACTGAAAGAGGGGCACAAAGAGATCGATCCCCTTGAAAGGGAGACCAGCCGAAATTTAAAGAAGTTCTAGTTGTTTGACTGCTTTGATTACATTTCACATACAATTATGTAATTAATACTATTTTTATTTTTTCATTTTTCATAACATGTTGATAATGTTGAAAACTTGATTTTTAGTTATAAAACGTTAGAAAATGCAGTAACATTTGCGTTCACACTTAAACAATATGAGAAACATTTTATGCATATCCGCTTTAGGATAGGTATTTGTGTTGGGATGTGGCACTGTACTCAAGTTTTATGTTGGAATAAGTAAATAAATACTCACACACTGCTTAAAAAATAATGACAAATGTGTAATACAATACTCTTTTTAAGTTATAACCTCAAAACTGTTCTTCTGGATCTTTGTGAAATTTTGGATCTTTATTGTCTGTGTATTTAACTTGATGCAAGCACTTTTCTCTAGAAAACATTTAGGCAAGCTCCAGTTTGATACACCAAATAACTGAGCCGCTTTAAACAGACTTCATTCCCAACCTCAAACCCTACGTGCTTAATTTGGAAATATTTCCATGTAATAATGGCTCCACACACCTCTTTTCTGTTTTGCCGAGACTTCTGGGGCAATCTTCTTCCTGCAACACAGAAACACATCATAGTCACAACAAACAAACAGTGCTTATCTAAAGTTGAACTATTGTGCTTTTGCTTGCTTTTTATCATACTGTTACAATGGTGGGTACTCGTATTAAAAATGATGTTACAAATTGCAACATTTATTTCAAACCTTCTGTTTGCTATATGCAGCAAATCAGGAAAGAGTTGGCTTAAGGGGAGGGGGAGTGAGATTGAACAGAGGGACTGAACTAGGGCATAAACAAAGATTATTTTTGAACAGTGAATAATGAAAATATACCCTCGTAGAGTCCAGTTATAACAGTAAGTGCCCTTTAAGATGAAAACTAGCACAAATGTGAAGAGCAATGTCTGACAGAAGAAAACAGCTAGTCAATATACCACTCAGGTTAGATAACGTGTCTGCAGCACATTCCTACCCGCAGTATTTCTGCTGGTATTTTTCTCCATAGGTGGAGTTGAGTAGGATGAGATATTCTGCCAGCCCGGCGTCGCTCAGACCGGTCCGCCTGCGGAGATCACTCCACAGCTTGTGCGACTCTCCGAGGTACACCCTCCTGACATCGTACTTCTTTCTGGATTCCAGCCGCCTCTGCGCTCGGTCGGAGTCTGTAAGCCTGGGTCGCCCCCTACAGCGCCTCAAAACACCCTTTCCTTGCTCCCCGGCTTGGTTTGTGTCCAGGGGAGACTCCACTTCTGCCAGCTGATGCGCCATCTTGGCCATAACAGCTGATGCTTTGATTATCCGACATGCCGGAAGTTGTGTAAGGACTCGCAGGAAACACTGATATCAACGCATTTTGAGCTCGTCTTCCTCGCGCTATAGATTTATAAACTTTGCGTCGGCAATATCTAGTTTTTCCTTTTAAGCTAGGCGAAGACATCGGTGAAATGCTAATAGAAATATGAACCGTGTGGACCGAGCGGAACGTAACAATGGACACAATGCGTTGCATCCGGACTGCAGTAGCACGAACACCATCGTGCACCATGTAAACAAACGCGGGAAGCTTGAGCCAGAGCATCATTTTTGGTTAGTAAAGTGTTGATTGTGGGATTGTGACACATGGCTGATATTTTGACGCTCGTTTTTCGGACGTTTATGTCACAATCCGATTTAAAGAAGGACGTCAAAGTTATTACTCCGTCACCAATGACCTGCAGCACCCTGGTGGTCGGAGACCACAGCCTCAGCCGCTCCGTGCTGCTTTTGGCTTCCGTCACAGCTGCCGCGGAGATGGGCATAAAAGTGATGTTCTTTACCCAGACTCAGATCCAGAGCCTTCCACCGTCTCTGCAGAGATGTGTTCCCAACCTGAGCCCAGAAAGTCTAAAGGTAGGGGTCGTTTTATGTTTAAACTGTGCCCAAATTCGCAAATGTTTTTTTTTCACTACTCGTGATAAACAACATTTTAGTAGCCCAGGTCCCTTGTGTGTTAGTGTTTTGAGGGTCGTTGTCATGGAAGTTTTCTCTTCTTCCAACATAGGTGCTTGCATTTTATTTAATTATTTAGTCATTTAGTTGCAGATCATCCAATCCGTGAATGCTATTTACGTTTTATAATATGAATATATAAACGTTACAGACCTGTGCAAGTGTTTAAAATGACATTTGAGCAGACGTGATACCCCTCTTTTTTTAACTCCCGTTTTTATTGTTATCTGTTAACCTTTTTTGGGTCAGGGAAACAAATAAATATTATAAGAAATTAGGGCTGCCACAAACGATTATTTTGATAGTCGACTAGTCTCCGATTATTTTTGCAATTAGTTGACTAATCAGATCATGCATCCATTGTACTTAAAACCACAGCTTATTGCACCAGCATGCATCTGCTCTTATATAATCATAACTAGCTTACAGCTTGAAGTGTTTAAGGTATGTGCTAACTAAAAATAAAGACAAGATGGTAGTTTATTAAATTTTAATTAAATGTGCAGATTGTTTCGGTGGAGTTTAATAAACTCAGCCAATTTACTCAGGAACAAATAAAATACTGAAAAAAGCCAAACAATAACATTTTTAAGTTATCTAAGTGACTTATATATCATGTTTAACCTGAGCAGCGAAAGACGGCGGTGGGTTTGAAAACGATTTGCCAGGAGTCCGGTGTTCTCATGGGCTCTAGTGAGCCTTGCCCCCAGCTAGCTATCAAGCTGGTGGGTAAAAGATGTCTCCGACAATGTCGGAGCGCTTTTGAAAATATGTGGTGTCTTGATAAACTGAACAGATATTTGAAGTTTAAATAGCTACATTCTCGCATGAAAACACGTTAAACGTTTATTTTGTGACCCAGAAAGAATAATAAGAGTAATATTAAAACTAACTAGCTGGGCCATATGAATTCTGGGACACAGCTTCTTCTTCTTCTTCGGGGTTTAACGGCAGCTTGTACATGCAGTGCTGCCATCTTATGTTTCAGTCCGTTATTACACTCTTAAATCCTACTACTTATTCCTGCGTCTTTTGGGATCTTACAAAGCTTCAAACTACGCATCGACTATTAAATTAGTCGTCGATGATTTTGATAGTCGACATAATCGTGACTAGTCGACTAATCGTGGCAGCCCTATAAGAAATAACTGAGGTCTAGTTTAGGTTGAAAGTGGTTTAGGGTTGCAACACAGCAGAACTACACCAGCCACTTCCATGGTTACAATTACTGTACGGCTCAATCAAAGCACATAATAATTGAATACACTTTTACAACCATGGATATGGTGCATTATGTTAACTGGTCACTGACTTGTTAATATCTGTGATATCAATATCTTTGATTGCAGTTAGAAAATTAGAAATTCACAAGTAGTTGAACAATTGAGCATTTATCACCACGTGTCACGTGGAGCTGGATAAAGCAAAAAACACTAGTATTATAATTGTGTTTTAAGCCTTTGTAGATAAAATGGATCAGGTTATGATTATAATACAACACAGGCAACAATGCCATAATAATTTGCTGATCAATTATTAAAATGTCCAAAAAAATTATTGCCTGAAAAGTTACCCAGCAATTAAAACAAAAATGTAATTATAGCCCCAGATTTAAAAAGTATTTTAGGAGTGATAAAATTAGGTGGTTAAATCAATAATCTACCATGATTTATTTAGCTTTTCATTTTTTGTGTGTTTATGTATTTATCATCATCATTATTATTATTGTTGTTGTTATTATTAATAATCTATTTATTTATATATTTTTTGTCAAAGAAAATCAAGTTTTCCTATCCCAGGACAGTGGAGGAACTCCTCCAGCAGGTGGCCAGCCTTCATGAGCCTACCAACACGTCCCCCACACCTCCTTCACTCATCATAGTCGACAGACTGGAGAGCTTCCTGTGTGGTCCTGGGGGCAGCAGCCAAAGTGGATTTCACCCTGGGGAGAAGTCTTGCGCTGCGCACATTGCTGCGCTGCTGTGTGACACTGCTGCCTTTCTCACGCAAGTCCTGGAACAGCGGGGTTCAAGTTCAGCCCCCTGCCGCATTATTGCCTCTTTCTTGTCGGAGGTGAATGCTGGTGGGGACCCATCTGCAACAGATCCTATCCTTGATGTACTTGACCGCTATTTCCAGGTACGCTGTACTCTGGACCAGGACAGCGGCTATGAAGCTACAGCAGCTGCTGTACAGGAAGTGTGGCACATTTACCTTTCCGGGAGAGGAATCACAGACCCTTCTTTTACTGAAGACTATAACGACAGGCCAGGTGTAGCCCAAGAGTGGAAGCTCTTCATTTTTCCTGATGGTTTAATGCAGTTTAAGATGGTCTGAGAGAAATTTTGTGTAGAGACGGTAGTCACAGCTACATTACAGTGTCACAGGATTATCAAAAAATGGGGGAAAAAAGCTCTTCCTTTCAGATATCAGGTAAAAGGACCATAACAGCTGTAGCAGTACAATATTTAATGAGTTTGAATTTTAAATGACATGAAGGTTAATCAAAAACATTAACAGTCCTTACAAAGACGTTTAAGGAATGTGAATGTCTTAAACTAAACAGTGGTTTTCCAACATTTTTGGCTGAGAGTGCCTTAATAACAAGACAAAATGACACAGAGTAAAAAGTCTCTAAAGCACATTGTAAATTCCAATAAACACACAGTGTAATGCTTTTCTGTTTGTCTTTCTTTTATCATAATTTGTGAAACTCGAGACTTCAGTAGCTGATATCACATTCAAATAAATTACAAAATGAAAAAGTTTCTCTTATTATGTATATTTAAGCATAAAGAAATACACATTGGTGAGTTCCCCCTAGTAAAGAGCTAGTTCCTGTTTGTAGGGGAAAAGACAACTTTATTATAGAAAAGCTCTCGCAAACTAACTGTGAAAGCTAGCGAGTTGTCAGTTTTTGCGCTATAAAATTTGTTTTCCTGCCATATCACACTTTGCTGGACTAAAATAATTCAACAGTGTTGAGAATTGTGCTTTTAGAGTAACTACAATTTCAGTTGCTAGATGTTTTTGAGCAACAAAATCAAACAAGGATGTGCAAAAGTATGGAAATCAATTTTTTGGAGTGATTGATGAAAATGGAAATTGGCTTAAAATGTCCCCACGCCCTGCATTAGTAGTGGTTACTAGATTTCTTTTACTTCAAGATCCAAGGTTTTCTTGGAAATGGCAGCAATTTACAGATTTGATCATCTTCTCAAACAATTGTGATAAAAACAGAAAACAAAAACTGTATTATTATGTACAAGTACAGTGAGTTTCACACTTGGATATGATCCAAAATATCCAAAAGTTCTTAAAATTTAAAAAACCTCAAATGAACACCTGCAAATAACATATTAAAAATATATATTACTTATCAAAAGCAAAGCCAAAATGCAGGAGCAGTATAGAAAGACTGAGTACACCTGTCACTTAAAGCTCGAGAACTGAGATCAATTCAATTATATTTTTATAGCGTCAAATCACAACAAGATTGCCTCAAGGCCCTTTATATTGTGAGGTAAAGACCGTACAATAATACAACGGAGGTTCCATTAACTGAAAGAGGGCATGCTTTTTCATAGCTGCAGATGGCTGCCAGATTTGCCATAATTATTTTTAAAAAGACAGAGAGCGTTATAGATTTTATCAAATGTTAGCCAAGCTAAGTTTATTTGTCGTTTTGGAATAATATACACTTGATGCTGAGTTTGAAAAAAAAAAACAACACAACTTTCTTTTTCACAGCAGTGATGATGAAAAATTAAGTAACAACAGCTGTGGTGATGAGCTTGTTCTTGCACAAAGCCTTAATTAATATGATCATCAAAAACCTGCTCTGGCAGAGTTTTTTTCCAGGCCTTCATTCAGTATTTAGCGGTGAGCTGAACAAAAGTATACATAGATATTAATAACTGCTATATGTATGATGATGTTTGTACAAAGTTTCTTCTGGTAATTGGATGATTGAGTAGGTGCTATTTCACAGTTTAATGTCGGTAATGATACAATTTATCAAAGATTGCAGAAACTTGAAGTTTGACTTTACAACAATGTAAAAAATGTGAAAGTCGCATTACTTCTAACAAGAAGACATAAAAGCTAGAGGCAAACTCCTACTGCTTTGTTCACCTAAAATTCTGTTATGCTGCACGGAAAGCATTATATAGAGAATGCTGCTCTAACCAAGCAGCATGAATTGCTTTAAGCAAGTTCATTTTTGTCTGTGTAGCTTTTGTGATGTGTGAATTAGGGTGCTAAATGGTGCCTCATGCTGAGAAATATAAAAGCTCTATCAGCTGAAAATTATAAAATTTAGTTAAAGCAGTACATTTATTCTATACCTTAAACATGATATGAAAACAAAAGTATGCTATCGATTAATAAGGAGAATGGTGTTAATGGTGCCAAGTTTGTACTTCTTGCTCCTTTGCACCTCTGTCAACCTACAGGTTTTTTAACACTATTACAACACTTAACACTTACTTTTGTGCAGTCTTTCACAAGAATACCCCGTATTCATTAAATGCTATAAAAGGAAAACTGCTATTATATTGGCAATAGGTTATGAATAACTACTTCCTTATTTGCCATCAATGAGCAGTAATTAGATAGCAAATTAATTATTTTTGTAGTATATGGTGCAGACTGCAGCATCAGAAAGTGCTTTATAATGACTAATAAAGAACCAGTCTGCTACCAGTATGGGTGCTAATAAGAAACCTGTTAATGGTCAATATGTATGCCTTAACATGAAGCTTTACAAAATTCTTCATGGTGGAGAAACTCAAGAAGTACAATCCCTCAGTGTCATGTACAGAGTTCTTTAGCTTACACTGTGGTGTCAGTCACCTCCCCAGTTACTTTCGTAACAGTTGATGGGGAGCCATGTTGCCTTGGGTGAATATCCAAATTCCCTTACAGAGTCTGTTTTAAAACAGTTTAGCTTCCTCTCAGCCATCACCATGGACAGGGTACTGCCTCACCAAGAAGGGTTTCCTGTGAGCAGGGATCGCGTTCTTGTACTCGTTAGTGTAGACAGGCACTTTTCCATTTTCATCAACTCTGCTCATGGGGCTATAGTCCATTGAGACCCCAGAGTCTGCCACTGCCATGTAGGTGTACCCGGGGCCCTTGGCCATCCAGGCATGGTTTGGGTACTCAAAACTGGACTGGGAAGAAATGCAACCTGATCCAGAGCTTTGAGGCGCTGATCCCAGGTCAGAGTGAGATTCACACAATGCTGTATTTCCAGAGGGAAAAAGAGCCTCAAGGGGCAAGGCTTCCTCAAGGTTGCTATCCACGGGCTCATCGTCACTGTTGTTGTTGGCACTGAGGGTGACGTAGGTGTCTTGAGACTCCAGCAGAGAAGACTGCGAGCAGGGAACCTGGTGCTGGTGGAGTGCCCGCAAGCGGTCCAGTAACCAGTGGTGGTGCGGTGCGGCTCTTTCCCCATCTGTCTCGCCATCTAAATTGTCTTTTACCAACAGTGCTCTTTCTTCAACCCCATTCCTCAATTCCCTGCCCTCATTCCTGACTGCACTCAAAGCTCTAGAGGCCTTGGGTGGCAGAGGTGGAGAGGGCAGTGAGGGGCATAGGCTCAGTTCTGAGAGTACTTCCAGAGAAGAGGGGCATTCTTCTGAGTAGATGAAAGCTGGCGTCAGCCACAAACCTCCATTGGTTTGCCCTAACCACTCCTATAGAAAAAGACAAAAATAATATGATGGTGTTGATGTGAGCATGTTACATTAAGCTCAAAGTGTCATTGTGCCAGGCTAAGGCTCAGTCTGCATGGCTGTAACTCTTAATATTTTTCTTACCTGAAAGTTCCCACCATAAATGGTAAAAAGACCCTGAAATTTGCTGTCAGGAGTTGGAATAGCTGGCCAAATCTTCTTTATAAGGAACCTAGAAAAGGAACAGACTCTTAAGATATATTTCACAACTTGTGTTTTCTGTTATTGCTACTTAAAATTCTTGAAGGACATTTTTTGAGACCAGACAGTAAGCAATCTGTTTGTGTGGGCCAGGCTTACTGACCTATGATGGGACAGGAGCATAGCAAGACACAGGACAATGAAGATGAAAGAGATGATGAGCGTCAGGGAGATGATGAGTGGATCAAATTCTAGGGGAGGAACAGAATGATCAATGTGTGTTAGATCTCTGAATACGGTAAACAAAAAAAAAAACATGGCATCATTTAGTCCCTTTCATGAGTTGCCAGTGCTTTTGGGGGTACATAATACATTTTTGTTATGCATTTTGATGTGAATAACCACCTGCAGGAAGAGTTTCCATGAACACTGGGTCACTCCAGGCACTCCAGTAGCCATTGTAGCTAACTCCATCCAGTTTTACACGGACTTGAACCTTGTACTTTCTACTGGACTGCAGGCCTCTCAAGATATATTCTGAGCATGCCCGGGCCACTTCAACCTGCAAAAAAGCCCCAAAAAGTCCATGTGCGGCCATCATTAAACCTGCTGCTCAGAGTTTAACGTTCAAATGGGTGAGGCTGCTTTACCTGCCCGATGTGGCTGTCAGCCAGAGAATAGAAGACCTCATACATCATGCTGTCATCCATGTACTTCAGAGGAGGTGGCACCCAGCTGACATTCAGCTGGCCTTGCTGACCTGTGCTGCTCACTGTTACATTAGCAGGAGGATCCAGAAGAACTGCACACAGACATAGAGTTGCATAGCAGTTAAGGGAAGAGTCTCACTTTGAAACACTTCCCCTCAATCTATAGGTACCTTGATGTAATGCTGCATGCATACTTAGTAGAAATGGGCAGATGATGGCAGTTATTTCAACCTACAGTACACAATTTTGTTTTTAGGCACTCAGCAGGTTCATAGCCCCTTTAACCATCACTGCAGAATGTAAGGCACAAATACTTAAAAACGTATTTAAAAAGCATTAATCTAGTGCTAAGCTTTGCAGAATTTGTTGGCAGGAGCACCGTTTGCAGGAAAAAAAAAACATCACTTACAGACGAGTTCGATGAGGAGGCTGCGATTGTGTATCAGTATTCCCTCCCGATGAACTTGGATGTCCATTTGGACAAACATCTGAATTCGGTTCAGATGGCATACAAACAGCATTTTCCCACCTGCTGCAGGGACGGCACTGAGGGGGCACCTGCTGCTGTTTTCATTTCTGCTCAGGATAGAGGAAAATGGGAACATTGTGATAGTAATATTGTATTTTAGTTTTTGTTTTGTAAACAAATCAAGCATTTGGATTATTTTTTTAATAATAGGCTCTGGAACTGAAGCTGTGAAAAAAAACCTGAAAGTATAAGGGGTATCTCCTGAAACCACCCAAATCCACTAACCCTGAAATACTTTCATTGTAGGTTGTGTAATATAAAAAAGAGATAAAAGGAAAAATCACCACATAGACTCATTTTATCTAATAATGAGTGTGACTTACTGGTAGGTGTATGTAAAGGAGTACTGATGCACAGAGCCAGCTCTCTCCTCATCTTCCTCCCAGAAGCACGTGAAGTCCTTCCTCCCTTCAGCAAAGCATTTGGGGGTTTCTGGTTCTTCTTTCAGGAGAATGGACACTGAGGGTGGCAAATTGGAAATGTGAGAGCACTATGTGAAATGGCATGATAGGAGCACACTAACGCCTTCCTGAAAAGTTCCAGAAAAAAACCAAAACCAAAAGATGCCTTACCTTTCTCCTCGAAATCTCGAGCGTCTTGGAGGGTGGAACCAGCTCGCGCGACGCAGGCTATCACGCAAAGTGCCAACAGTCTACTCAGAATCTCACATGTCATCATGTCTTCTCGGGGAACAGAACGACCTCGGCCCTCTATTGTCCACCTGCATCACCGGAAAACAACCTGCCACAAACACATCTGCCGCAGCTCTCTCCTCGCTTGTTTTGTGTTTCGATACCATGCATAGCGCAGCGCGGTTATTACGCGCCTGCTCGTGAGCGATAAGGTGCTTATACGCCGAGCTGTTTACTTTCTCCTTGAGTGAGAACAGAAGAGGTGGGGCAAATAAAGTCTTTCAGAAGTTTTTGGCATGGTGGGCGGGAATCACGCGCTCATTGATGTTTACAACATGTTTGCAATGTCTGAGATCTGTTTTGCGTAAAGGCGCGCAGATAGCGAGTTCGATCGATAGATAGATAGATGGATATTTAGATGGATAGATAGATAACACCCCTTTTTGAGGAAATGGTGCGCAAACACTGACTGGCCCGAGGAGGTGGTCTGTAGTCCTCTGCTGTCTCCTGGGACAGTTTAATTCCTGCATGTGCTCATGTAACAGAAACCGCTGAGTACCCACTCACACTCTGTACGAAGCAGGCCTAAACGGTTCCTTATCTACTCACTGCACCCCCGTGTTTTCTTGGTTTGGCTAGTATTATCAGAGGTGCAGACAGCCCTGTTTCTTCACCCAAGATAAGTAGTCTCAGCCCATCCCCGTCAGTTTAAATGCAATTCAGCACGTCTTTACATCACTTACAAAGGGCAGTATAATGACTGTGAGATGGGCACCGACGTAAGAGCTACGTTTTGTTTAAATAATGACACATTTGCATACATTTGCTCACTTCAGTTTCACATCCCTTCCAGTCAGCTAAGTGAGAATTCTGTTTAGAAGCAGAGGGACCCTTGCGTAGGGAAGGGAAGTTGTGTCTTATGGCAGGAAGAAGACATCTGTATTGTTGCGGAGGACAAGGACAGAATGTGGTTTCTCTGTTTCTTCAGATAAAACAGATGTTTGGGGTTAGGATGTGTGATTCCTGGTCATAAATTAAACCTTAGATGTAGCCATGACCGCAAAGACAAGTGTGCAGGTTTCCTAACTCATTTATGAGATGAACAGACTATTGTGCTCCCCCCTCTTTTTTGTAGTGAATATATTCTTTATTTTCATAAACAGATTTCTACATTTGTCCTTGTTTATAAGATGCACTTTTTTCTTTCCAAACAATGGGTTCACCCTGCACATTCAGAAAATATAGTAAACAGCACAAAGGATCTAATCTCCCATCTTTTAGAAAGCTATCAATCAGGAATGTAAGACATTAAAATACATATGCCATAAGCATAAGAAAGAAAGAACATCTCTAGGACTAAAAGCTGAGGTTCAAACCTGTTTGCACAAGAGTGTCTGAGCACAATGGCAGATACCTGCTGAACTAAAATGTGATATCAGTGGACAGAGCAGAACAGCATGTTTCAAGCAGCAGTCCCCATCAGAAGCTCAGTAAGAGAAACATGGTTTTTGCATGCCATTTTAATACACTGCAAAACTGCATGATATAATACAAATAGTGTTATGAATTACTGATCTTGCACACAACTTTCCTATTTTAGACCCCTGCATCAAAGCGCAGCATGCCACAGACATGTGATATGATAACATCTAATACCTGTCAAACTATATCACTATTCAGCAGCACATGCTGTCACAAGCGATAAGTGGCCGCAGGCTCGTACAGTAGCAGGGAGTGGGCTGACCAGCAGTTAGCAGTGTGAGGCTGCTATCGCTGTACAGAGGCTATGGTTAATACTAACTGACAGTCAACAGTCTGCACATGGATGGTAATAATAAAAATAAAAATATTTAAAAACAAAACAAAACAACAACACACAATTCTTGTATTCCCATCCCTGATTTGTGGTGAAATCCAAAAGACGCTCCAAATTTCAATCTTTCCCATCAGGATGATGTTTTCAGGAGGGTCAAACTGACCTTTCAACGCTGAAATCTTGTCCAAACAGCAGGAACAAAACAAGATGTATAAAATACAATTATGTGGAGTCATTCTAAAACTGCATTTTATTCACATTGATTTATAACAGTAACGGGGAATAAAGTGATGCTCTGCACCGGCTCACTGTTCATCCTGATAGTTGCAACAGCACGGTTGGTGTCCGGACTTATCGTCCTCACAGATCAGTGGTTGTCCCCCTTTCTGGGCACAAACACACGTAATGTGCTGCACTTCTTGAAAACAGTCGTGTCAGTAACAAACAAAGGGAAAAAAAGATAATTCAACACATTGTAACTGCTCACCTACTAAACACAGTGCCATGCTACAGTTAAGGGAGCAGTATGTGTGTGTGTTTGTGTGTGTGAGACAGAAGGCGTTAAAGAAAAGAGTGGCACAATGGGGTGACTGAGGACATGTCACATGAGGGGCTTGCTGACACTAGTACATCACACTGTGTGGCAGACCTGACATTTAGTAAACAGCAAGAAGAAGAGGTGAAGGGAAGCTCTAGACTGGTCACACGTGTTTGTACAGTAGTTATTACGCTTCTACTGCAGCTGATTTACTATATTCTGAGTGGGGGAAAAATCAGCATGTTTTGAATATGAAGTTTAGTATATCAATGTCTTTATACTTGGCTAAGTTAACCAGCTCTAGGCAGTAGCTTTATTTACCATATGCAGCAGTGGTACTTTTTTTTTTACTCCTGACAAGAAAGCAAAGTTCTTGTCAAACTTGCCCTTGAGGGTTGGCAATGCTGAAAACTTTCAGCACGCTGTGCAAGACTCATTCATGTTTCCTCCCTTTAATCAGTCCCTAGAGCATCCTGGACAAGACTCATCAAGCACAAAACGTCTTGGACCTGCTAAAATCCATCAGAAATCAAGACCTTAATAAATATTAGACCAAAGAGAAGTCCTATTGGAACATGACATTACTGGTTTCTACAGTATAACACATTTAAACAGTTCATCGATCAAATCAAAATTTTCAAGATAAACTGATAGCTAGCTTGTTGCTGTATATAAAAATATTTGTCTAAGAAAACTGAATGCACTGAATAAATGTTTCACTAGATTTCACGTGGTAGTTAATGGGGCTACAGCAGTCAAAGAGGTGTATGTGGCGGCTTAAAGTCTGCAGGCTTAAAGTCTCCCTTAAGAGAAAGAAAGCGACAGAGTGGGTCTCTTCGAAGGAAAGACAGGTCTGAGGAGGAGGAGGAGGATGTGCTGAAGATTATCTGTGCTGTGTGGATGGGGCAGAGCTCGGTATGGCTCAAGTGAAAGGGGAGGTGCGGCACTTTTCATGGTTGAGGCACAGACAAGTTATTCTTCAGTGTGTGTGTGTGTGTGTGTGTTGGGAGACTAAGAAGGCAGATGGTTTAGCAAGCACAGCCCCCGTGGCTCTCTGAAGGTGAGTCTTTAAGGCCCTGGTTGCTGTGGTTGGCTATGAGGTTGGCGTCTCCTTCCATGCTCTCGTTCATCTTCTCACAGATAACATCCACTAGACGTTCAAACACCTGCTTGACGTTGATGTTGTCCTTGGCACTGGCCTCAAAGAACTGAAAACCTGACATGAAGCAAAGTCACAAAGCTAAATGGTATTTCAGTTCATTTGCTATGAAAAATAGATGTACTAATGTCAGAATCTACAAAAAAACAAAGTCAGACGTGTCTGCAGACTCTAAGCTAAAAAGAAATAACACTGTGACACTAACAGCTTTTACCTAGCTCCTCAGCCAGTCGCTGGCCATCCTCTGTGGGTATAAGCCTGTCATCCTCCAGGTCACACTTGTTACCAACCAGGATTACCTGAGCATTGTCCCACGAGTATGTCTTGATTTGTGTTGCCCTGAAAGACAAAAGCAGAGTTGCAAAGTCTACATGATTAACAGCAGAATTTTTTTTTTTTACATATATAGGACACTCTGATTAAACTATTCTTACTATAATGATCAAAGCATATGTATATACATATGTCTGCATGAACTGTATCTCTTAACGGGTAAGCCAATCAGAATAACATACAGTGGTCCCTTGTTTATCGCGGGAGTTACGTTCTAAAAATAACCTGCGATAGGTAAAATCCGCAAAGCAGCCAACTTTATTTTTTACAATTATTATAGATGTTTTAAGGCTGTAAAACCCCTCACTACATACTTCATACACTTTTCTCAGACAGGCATGAACATTTTCACTTTTCTCTCTTGTTTAAACACTCTCAAAGTTCAAACCTTGCAGACAAATAAGTCCAGTATTATAGAATGAAACCAAAGGCACCCGCAGGTGATGACGTCTTGTCGACATTGTTGTGTTTGTTGGGGAGAAAACTTACAAACATACAGTACAGCACTTCAGAGTCACGTTGATAGCGATCGAAGATTTATGTAAAGTTGACAAGCTGAACGCATTCTGTACTGTGCAGGAAACACGGCACGAGATCAACTGAAAATAGTCTACAGCCAATCAGGATGCAGAACACAATGCGCTGTAAAAAAAAAAAAAAAAAAAAAAAAGGTATGCAAAATTGCACACACACACACACAAAAAAAAAAAAATCAGCGAAACAGCGAGGTGAACCGCGTTTTACCGAGGGACCATTGTATATGCAAAACATTGTTACATATACAACAACTATTAATATCTATATGTTAAAAAAACGATTTATTATAAATCCCACTGTTTTACATCTTCATATACATCCTTTTTATTCTGTTATCTCCTTGCCAATGCAGTGTGGGGTCGCCAGCGCCCAAAGCCAAAGACATTTTAGCAACCATCACGACTGAATGAACCCTTCAGCAAGTAATACTACATTTTGTCTAAAACTTAATTTTTCATTTTAAATATTTTGTGGTTTTTGCTAATCATTCTTGTTTTGAATAAAGAAGAAAATAAGATATATAGGGCGAGTTTTTCCTAGTGTCAATAAAACTGTTGTTTTGAAAGCTAAATGTTTTCTCTTCTTTCTTGGTAAAGGATTCCAACTGCACAAAACTTTTCATTTTATAATGCACCAAATGTATTCATTATATGACATGTCCCTGATACCAACCCACACGGTCCCAACCCTCTTTAGTCTGAGGACGTGGCATCCATGATTCCCACATTTTGAATCATCAGTCACAGAACAGTTTTCCACTTGACTTCAGACTGCCCTGAAGAGGTTTAGGCCAATCACCTGCCAGCCGCATGACAGAGATTAAACTGCATATAAGGACGCAGTGAAGAATTGTGTTCACAGAGAATAGTATTCAGAATTGTTCCTGAGATCATTGAGTTAAACTGCTAGTTATGCCTGTTGTTAATGACGTTTTTTGAAATGCATTTCAAATACATTTGAAATGCATTACTGGTGGTGGGCAGCATGGTGGCACGGTGGTTAGCACTGTTGCCGCACAGCAAGAAGGTCCTGAGTTCAATTCCACCATCAGGCCGGGGTCTTTCTGTGTGGAGTTTGCATGTTCTCCCCGTGTTTGC